TATATATATATATGTATATGTGTGTGTGTGTGTGTGTGTGTGTGTGTGTGTGTGTGTGTGTGTGTGTGTGTGTGTGTGTATTCAAGTTGTATTACCTCAGTGAATTCAGTCCGGACTGAAGATTTTGTGATTTAGTTGATATTTGAATAAAAATAGAGTTTTTGCAATCTGATTTTTGTAATTCAATTACAGACAAGAGAGGTTTCTAGAATACTGAACTGTTATTTTTTGCCTCAACGCTTGAGGGAGCTCTTTGGCAGAATATGTAAGTGGCTGTCTTGCTCTTACCTCGATTCAAACACCCACTAACCTTTGATAACCTTAACATTTGTGCTTTTTTTTTCAGTTACAGAAACCACAAAAATAAATAACAAATGGATTTTATGTAATGAGCTGCAGCCATATGAGATATGACCAAAGTTTTTCAACATTTTTTTCAGCAATAACCATAAGAAACATTTTTTTCCACAAAAACAATACTATTACTGATTTCACAGGATCAGTATTCACAGTAAAACCAGTCTGACTTGATTACCTGAAACTCTTTATCTTCAGCTGACAAACATGTGGTCCAGTTTAAGGCCTCTGGTATTACATGAGATGACACAGAGATGGGGTTGTCTTACTGATCAAATTTAACAAAAACATGAAGGTCGGGCCCTCCAATCTCTGTTGCTGAGGTCACCGAGATGGTTAAAAAGCTCCTCGGTGGCAGGGCCCCAGGGGTGGATGAGATTCGCCCGGAGTTCCTTAAGGCTCTGGATGTTGTAGGGTTGTGTTGGCTTACGCAACTCTGCAGTATTGCGTGGACATCGGGGGAAGTTCCCCTGGATTGGCAGACCGGGATGGTGGTCCCCCTATTCAAAAAGGGGGACCGTAGAGTGTGTTCCAACTACAGGGGGATCACGCTCTTAAGCCTCCTTGGTAAGATCTATTCGGGGGTTCTGGAGAGGAGGGTCCATCGGATAGTCAAACCTCGGATTCAGGAGGAGCAGTGCGGTTTTCGTCCTGGTCGTGGAACACTGGACCAGCTCTATACTCTCAGCAGGGTCCTGGAGGGTGCATTGGAGTTTGCCCAACCGGTCTACATGTGCTTTGTGGACTTGGAGAAGGCGTTCAACCACGTCCCTCGGGGGACCCTGTGGGGGGTACTCTGGGAGTATGGGTTACCAGGCCCTTTGATACGGGCTGTTAGGTCCCTGCATGACAGGTGTCAGAGCCTGGTCCACATTGCCGGCAGTAAGTCAGGTTCGTTCCCAGTGAGAGTTGGACTCCACCAAGGTTGCCCTTTGTCACGATTCTGTTCACAACTTTTATGGACAGAATTTCTAGACGCAGCCAAGGTGTTGAGGGGATCCGTTTTGGTGGCCTTAGGATTGCGTCTCTGCTTTTTGCAGATGATGTAGCCCTGTTGGCTTCATCAGATCGTGATCTACAGCTTTCGCTGGAGTGGTTCGCAGCCGAGTGCAATACAGCCAGGATGAGGATAAGTTTCTCCAAATCCAAGGCCATGGTCTTGATCCGGAAAAGGGTAGATTGCCCTCTCTGGGTCAGAGAGGGGGTCCTGCCCCAAGTGGAGGAGTTCAAGTATTTTGGGGTCTTGTTCACGAATGAGGGAAAAATGGAGCGTGAGATCGATAGGCGGATAGGTGCAGCATCTGCAGTGAAGCGGGCGCTGTACAGGTCTGTCGTGGTGAAGAGAGAGCTGAGTCAAAAGGCGAAGCTCTCAATTTACCGATCGATCTACATTCTTACCCTCATCTATGGTCATGAGCTTTGGGTTGTGACCGAAAGAACGAGATCTTGGATACAAGCGGCCAAAATGAGTTTTCTCCGCAGGGTGTCTGGACTCTCCCTTAGAGATAGGGTGAGAAGCTCGGTCATCCGGGAGGGACTCAGAGTAGAGCCGCTGCTTCTCCACGTCGACAGGAGCCAGTTGAGGTGGCTCAGGCATCTGGTTAGGATGCCTCCTGATCACCTCCCTGGTGAGGTGTTCCGGACACGTCCCACCGGGAGGAGACCCAGAGGAAGACCCCCATGACCCGACCCCGGATAAGCGGAAGAAAATGGATGGATGAAGAAAAACACATCTCTTGCACAGTTTCACCATAAAGAATTTTGAGTTGTCAGAGGAAAAACTGATTTATAGTCAGCAAGAGGTTAAAAACACCCGAAGCTGGCAAGCCACATTATGGTGTACCACAAGGCTCAGTCTTAGGACCTACCTCACAATCTACATAGAGGTAATGTAAGTCACACCATACCTGATGCATCCTTACATTTTTATGCTGATGACACAGTCTATGGTCGAGCTAGATCATTTGCTAAGGCTTTCCAGCTTTTGCAATCCGCTTTTGACATCATCCAGTTGGATTTATTCCATCTCAAACTTGTTCTAAATGCCAACAAAACCAAAGGGATGCTGTTTTCAAACAGGAAGTCGGACCCAGCAGTCCTTTCCTCAATTTTATCTATGAATGGTGCTCCTATTGAGTTTTTGATTTCTACAAATATTTGGGTGTCTTGGTCAATTTGCATCTTTCTTGGAAAACTTGGTAAGGAAACCAAAAGTTAAATTGGGTTTCTTTTTCAGAAATCAATCTCCTCTAAGCCTGAATGCTAGGAATGCCTTCTAACTGTGCCTTTCCTTTCTTCCATTGACTACAGTGACATTATTTACATGAACGCCACTACAAGCACCTTGCAGGCATTGGACGTTGTTTATCACAGTGCGCTAAGATTCATAACTTGCTGTAACTACCGTACCCATCACTGCACTCTGTGTTAACTGATCATCATTAACTTCACATAGCCTCTCTCACTGGTACATTTTCATCTATAAATCACTTCTTGGTCTGTTGCTTTCATAAATCTCCTCCTACATATCACTACGTGAGTGCAGCTACAGCGTGCACTCTCAGGACATAATTACATGCAGTGTTCCCTCAGTGCGGACCGAACTATGTAAAAGGGCCTTCTTCAACTCTGCTCCTGTTTCCTGGAATACCTTGCAAAAAGATCCACAGCTCTCGACCTTGACCTCTCTAAGTGTCTTCAAACATCTGCTAAGTTCATGGCAAAAACCTATGCAGACATGTTCCTGTTTTTACTATTCTACATCGGTTTACATTGTAGCTGTTATTGTTTCCTTTCTTTAATTCCATTTTATTTCATTTATTCTTCTCAATTTGTATGCTTTCTTTTATGATTGTCTACTGTTGTCATCACTCTTTGTTAAAACCAGGTCTCTTAAATGAGTCCCCGAAGTCAATGAGGCTAACCCGAATAAATAACGATTGAATGAAAGCCATAAATATAAATATTCCAAAAATGTTTATTTTTTATTTTTACAAGAATACTTTTTGCACAAGTACGACAAAACCTGAGAATGTGTTGGAGAGTTTCTTTCTTTTAAATCAGAAAAAAAAATAAAAATAATAATACATTGCCTTGAAAGTTCCAATTTCCACAAAATCAGGCAGATATAACACAAAGTTAAATTTAAGAAAATCTGCATATAATTTAGAACGGAGCAGCAAAGAGAACAAATATGACAACAAACTGATCTTTGCTCTTAATGCAATTAATTTGATTTTTTTTTTCATTTATACACACATGATTTTATAATTGATGACAAATAACACTTTTAGACTCAATTTTTATCACATTACCTATTCAAGTCATTTTTCAACTGTAAATGTTTGAACAATGTACAACGCCTGATATGATTATTGAAACATCAACACAAACACTAAAGTGATGAGAGTCTTCATTTTTTTCCCATGTTTTGCTTTTTCCCCGCACAATACTGTGTGAAAGTTCAAAGCCTTAAAACCTGTTGTGCCTCTTGAATTTTGACTACTTTAATATTACCTCTCTCTTGATCGTGTGCAGTGCCTTGAAAAATTATTCAGCGGCACTTAGACAGCATCATGAAGGCCAAGGAACACACCAGACACATCAGGGATAAAGTTGAGGAGGATTCTAAAGCATATTTAGTTTATAAAACAACATCCCAAACATCAAATGTCCCACGGACGAGACATGGCTGTCCACCTAAACTGACAGGACGAGCAAACAGAACAGAGAAGCAACTAATAGGACTGTTGGAACTCTGCAAAGGTCCTCAGATCAAGAGGAAGAACCCATCAACAGAACAACTACAAGTCCGCCGAGAAGTGATGGAGGCGTATAGAAACATGTTCACCTAGACCAGGGGTCTGCAAGCTGCGGCTCTGGGGCCACATGTGGCTCTTTGGTATACTCTGCAGCGGCTCGTTCAGGCTTTGACCAAAACTAAAATAAAACTGAATTTTATTTAAGTTATTGCCATCAATGAAAATTACTAGTTTTATCAGATTTCCTAACATTTTCAAACATGTCAAGAATAGTACAATACAAGGCATAAAACGTGGACTACATCATGCTAGTAGTTTGTTAGCAACTTTGTTAAGTCGACTTGCAGTCTCACAGAGTGATCGTTCTCTCAAAACCACTAGAATGTTTTGGAATATCCTTAAGACAAGTTGCTGAGAAGCAGGGGTGATTCTAGAATATGACCTTTAGGTGTGCTCAGCCCCCAGTGCTGACAATGGCTCTTAGCTTGAACAACGTGGTAGCCATCTGTGTCAGAAGCATTTGTAATATTGGTGGGGGGTGGGGGGGGGGGGTCTGGGTTAGAGCTGTCACTTCTAACCTGAACCCGAAGCTTGGCCCCGCCCTACCCGGATTTGGACCGGGCCGGGCCATAATAATGTGCTTAATGTACGAGCCGGGTTGGTGTTGGGCTTTTTATTGCATCAGGGATGCGCACGGCCAACGATCCAATTATATGCCAACATGGCTTGCCATAAAATCGTCAGCTGCACGTGGCCATTTGGCCACACGCTGACCGGCCAGTTGAAAGAGGTAAAACGTTCAGTTAAGCTTCAGATGGACTACTGCCAGAGCAATCCATCGCCTAAATGGACGTTCATTCAGCCACAGCACTCAGCGGAAGCGCGCGGCCGACGACCCAAACAGGTGAGATCACAAAGTATCCGACATGTCAGACAGGATGCAGGCAGAAACAGGGAAAGCATTTAATACTCTTTGATGACTCCTCAGCTCTGATCTTCTGCCCCATTTACTCAGCCACGCTTGTCCACCAACCGTTAGTAATAGTCAGTGATATAAGCAGTCAAAGCATAATTAAAATGTCAGATTTTTTCGTGTTCGGACCTGCAATTACTGTTAATTCGTCGGATCGGGTGGGGTTTGGAGATGATGGCTGTGGGCTGGGGCCGGGTCTGGTTGATTGGACCCAAATGCAATTCTAGTCTGGGTGTCCTCCCCCAGAAAACTTTTAATAAAGTTGATGCCATTTCCTGCATTCTGGTGTATTTTAACAGGTTGTTAAACATCTACGTTTACCTACATATATAAGCACTTGATTCAATAACTATTTTAAAGAGCACGGCACAACAAGTAGCCTGACCAACAGCTCCCCTTGTGTGAATAGACCACGCTCCGCTTCTCTTACACATCCTAACCCTGAGCTAATTGAGCTGCTCATGAGGTCACCCACCAGCCTTCATCCATCTTTTACATTTTCCAAACTTCGTTTAGTTTGTGAAATGAATACACTGTATTAAACACCCTCTAATGCTCAGGGTAACACGTGTCTGAATTACATGTTCCCCACTAATGTTTAATCATCTTTCTGATGATTTTTCACGAAACCCCTCAGACTGCAAAGCGTGCATAAAGCCGGTAAGGAGCATTCATTGTGGGACAAATTGAGATTGCCGATTGGCCACTTGCTGATGAGCCTACTGGAATGATTAACAGGTGGTGTTGAGGATCCAACGCATGCAAAAAAAAAAAATCTGATTTTACTGGTCCGTTTAAGTTTAATTTATTCCAAATGTATTCAATATTTTGGTGAATCTAAGGTTTGAGAACTGAGTTTCCTTACAAAATCGTAATAACGGTTTCTTAATTTTTCAGGGGTGCTGAGTTGAAATTCAGTGGTGCTTGAGCACCCCCCAAAAGAGGCTAAAATCACCACTGCTGAGAAGGAATACGGTGAGTAACTTTGATAACACTAAGAACAAAACACACAAAACAAAGTTAAAGAAAACAAAAGTATTTTTCTTTAAAAATGTAACTGGATATCCAACAAACTGGCCTAATTTTATACAGTGTTTAACTTTATGCTTTAAGTAGGATACTTAATTCTTCAACAATTAGGAGAACGAACATAGGCTTGCAAAGTTCAGCATTTTAATTTTTATAAAATTGATAAAAAAATTATATATTTTTCTTTCTTTACATTAATCTAGTCTTTTCTTTTGTATTAAAATGTAACAATATCAATAAATGTTAATAATAGTTATACATTTTTCGTTTTATAATATCACCCCAACTGGCCGGAAAAGCCCCAACAAACTTGTGGTCCACGGGCCACCAGTTGACAGTACACAGTTGTAGCAGATTTTGTGGTTCCGGACATCATAATTGATAACCAAAGAGGAAAAAATTGCTCTTTTTATCGCAAAGGTTGCAGACCCCTGACCTTCACAACAAATTGAAAATATAACACTGAGGCTGCTTACCAAAAGGCACATAGGAAACTTGAAGAAACCCTAATTATTCAACATTTGTATTAAGATGTAAGAACACATGTTGTGGTTTTCTGTTGGATCATCATAGTGCTAAGCAAACAAAGAGGGTTATGCTGGAAACTTCTTTGGAGACCCCAGAACTGACTGTGCAAAGAAATCTGTTGCACAAAGTGCTAAACGTAATGCACAACACGGCACAACACGGCACACACCCTCCACACAGTTAAACAAGTGCATCCGATGAGCTCTGCTACAGCAGACCAAGAGCTCCTTCAACATCACAGCTACTCTAAATCCATGCTTTTACTCTTCATCACAAATACCTATAATAGTATCAATATGTACGCAGCTGATTGTTAAAAATAAAACAGTGCAGTTTTTACTTCCATTTAATTTAGATTAATTCAAATAAAACAATCTGAGCAACATAACATATTTATAAGTGCACTTAAAATGAATAAATTTTTATCTCTCACTGAATCTTGTAAAATAAATTAGTAAGAAAATTTTAAAAAGCAGCTAAATCCTGTGACCTGACTTTTCATTTCGCTTCAAGTACGTACAAAACTGAAAAAATCAAGACCTTAGTGTCCCCTGAACATAAAATCTATTGCAATTGTTCACAAATTCAAGCTTCTTTGTTTCACATTTTAATTTTCCATCGAGTTACACAAACTGCACGTGTTCACAAATCTTCTTGTGCTGTTTGCTGGGCCAGAGGTCAAAGGTTAAGATGGCATCACTGTGCAGCGGATGGTTCAGGGATTATTTTTGACAGACTGTCCTCGGCCAACTGGGACAGATATTTCTGAAAGAAAAAAAAACCCAAAATGGATAAAATGTAAAGTATAGCATGAGTTTAACTAAACAACGTAGAATGACTTGACTGCATCGGTCTAACAGGACGCTGTCCTCATCAAAACACGTTTACATTTTCCTTATAAAACCATTTGATTTCACTAGAAAAATTCAACAATTCAGCAGTGTCACTTTATAATAAGGCTCCCCTTATAGATGGTTAATAAATATTTTATAGATAGGTTATTACTTCCTCTATAAACACTTTATAAATCATTAATAACTCCTTATTATGCATTAATTAAGGGTGACAGAGAGACAAAACTGACCAGTTTCTTTCTAAACAGTGAGACAAATTTGTTCACCTATATATTTCATCTAGAGTTGTTATATTAAACATTTCAGACTAAGTTACTACCTTGTAAGCACAATAAGCATTTGAAAACATATTTCTTTAGCATAAAAAATTTAATTGAGAGAGAGAGAGTTTATTTATTTGTCATTCTTTTACTTATTTATTTATTTATTCATTGTTTTACCAGGAAGAAATCCATTGAGATCATCAATCTCTTTTACAAGGATGTCCTGGACATTATGCAAATACAGCACTACATGTAGTACATGTGGTACATGTGGTGGAACAAAATTGTGTACGCAGGGTCCCAGTTACATCCAACAATAAAATGTAAAAGAAAATCAGTAATAAATCTAAGATATGAACTAAGAAAGATGTTAACTAAAATCATTCGAAGAACTAATAGCATAGAAACAATATGCCAAACAGCAGCTCGAACCCGAGTCTGTGTGAGCAGATAAGTACAAATGAACACATCAACATGAAACTGATCAGCAGCAACACAATGTGATTTTTCACAGTGATTATTCTGGTTAGAGATTCATGAGTCTAACAACCTCAGGGTAGAAGCTGTTCCTCAGTCTAGTGGTTATACACTTAATGCTCCTCATCCTACTTCCTGAGGTGAGCGAGGCAAAAAGTGTGTGTGCTGGGTGAGTGAGGTCCTTCATGATGCAGGTGGCCCTCTTCCTGCATCTAGAGGTGTAAATATCTGTGATGGTGGGGAGACTGACTCCAACAGTCTTCTGTGCAGCCTTCACCACTCTGCAAAGCTTTTCTTTCTGCAGCTGTGCAGCCTCCATGCCTGGAGCAGAAGGACTCCTACGTCCACATGATCTTTGTGGACTTCACGTCTGCCTTCAACACCATGATCCCCCAAACCCTGATGGACAAACTACTCACACTAGGACTAAGCCCCTCCATTTGTAACGGGGTCCTAGACTTCTTAACAAACAGACCACAGTCTGTGAGGATCCACAACTTCTCTTACTCCACCATAACCTTCAGTACTGGCTCCCCTCAGGGCTGTGTGTTGAGTCCTCTTCTGTTCACTCTGCTCACGTATGACTGTGCACCTACCCATCTAGGCTGTCTTATTGTAAAGTTTGCAGATTATACAGTGGAGGTGGGATGCATCACAAACAACAATGAGTCCAGCTACAGGCAGGAGGTGGAACACCTGGATAGCTGGTGCAAGGAGAATAACCTTAACATCAATGTGAAAAAGATGAAGGAGATGGACGTGGACTTCAGAAGGAACAAACACACCTGCACCCACCTGAACATAGGATCTGTGGTGGAAATGGTCTCCAGCTACAAATACTTGGGTGTGCACCTGAATGACAACCTCAGCTGGACCAACAACACCACCAGCCTGATCAAGAAAGCTCAACAGAGACTCTACTTCCTCAGGCAACTGAGGCGAGCTGGTCTGGGAAGCTCAGTCCTCACCTCCTTTTACAAGTGTGCAGTGGAGAGCATCCTGTGCTCCAGCATCAACGTGTGGCATGGAGGCTGCACAGCTGCAGAAAGAAAAGCTTTGCAGAGAGTGGTGAAGGCTGCACAGAAGTCTGTCGGAGTCAGCCTCCCCACCATCACAGACATCTACACCTCTAGATGCAGGAAGAGGGCCACCTGCATCATGAAGGACCCCACTCACCCAGCACACACACACATTTTGCCCCGCTCACCTCAGGAAGGAGGTTGAGGAGCATTAAGTGTAGAACCACTAGACTGAGGAACAGCTTCTACCCTGAGGCTGTTAGACTCATGAATCTCTAAACAGAATAATCACTGTGAAAAATCACATCAAGTTGCTGCTGATCTGTTTCATGTTGCTGCTGATCTGTTTCATGTTGCTGTGTTCATTCGTGCTCATCTGCTCACACAGACACAGTTTGTGCTGCTGTTCGACGTAATGTTTTTATGCTACTAGTGCTTAGTGTATTATTTAGTTGATGCTTTTCTTATTTCATATTTTAGATCTTATTGCTGTTCTTTCTTTTACATTTTAGTGTTGGATGTAATTGGGACCCTGTGCACACAGTTTTGTTCCACCACATGTACCACATGTGATGCGAATGACAAATAAAGCACACATTTACCTCCAGAAGGCACGTACCTGCAGGTTCCTGTAGTGTACAGTGCTGCGGCAGTGAGTGGTCTTGGCAGTGTCCTCGCTGGTGTAAAAGAGTCCACAGAGTTGACAAAAGAAACCAGCCTTTGGCACAATAAACTCCACTCCTGTCAGACAAAAAACCCCAACAACACAATAATCAAATTTCACTTTCCCAAAGTCCGGGCCCCATAAGGAGCAGTGCCGTTGGTGGGTTAGGGGTTAGGTTTAGGGTTAGGTATGTACTGGTTGTGGTTAGGTTTATGGTAAGGGTCAGGGTTAGGTTATAGAAATAAATGAAAAATGAATGGAAGTAAATGGACTGTACTTATATAGCACCTTTCTATCTTATTTCAAGATACTCAAAGCACTTTACACTACAATCTGTGCCCTCATTTATTCATTCATACAGCACTCTACTAGGTCTCTACAAAGCTAATTGAACAAATCATTCTAAAGAGACTAATCAGTGCTTTAGATCACATTCATGATGGGATACACATCAGAGGCTATGAGGGGTTCAGTGTCTTGCCCAGGGACACTTCAGCATGTGACTGCTGGTGGATTTGAACCTCCAACTCTTGCATTGGAGGACGACTGCTCTAACCACTCAGCCACAGCCGCAAAGTCAATGCAAAGTCCTCATAAAGATAGAAAGACAAACGCGTGCACGTGCACGTGTGTGTGTGTGTGTGTGTGTACAGCCCTTTGTTATTGGGTTTATGGAGAGGCCACGCTGCAACAATAAAATACTAGCCATGTGCTCCAGCATATCATCTGACCCTGATGTTAATATTATTCTCTCCAGGGTGCATTTCGCGGCCCGCTCACAGAAATAGCTCTGCACATGACCGAGTCAGTCCTCTCAATTATTGGGCTGATGCAACTGATCGTCCATCAACGTACAAACAGTTTAGAGGGTAATGTTTTATCTTCAGGATGAAGAGTCCAGACTCCTCTTTTAAACAAAGCAAAACGAAATGTAAAATCCTTGAAGAGCAGGTTAGATTAATATTTGCTGCAGATTAAGATTTGAAAATCTCTCTAGTCTCTTTTGTAAATGAGTCTCTGAGGCTCAATGAGATGAACTTGTATAAATAAAGTTTGAATGAATGAATGAAAAAAGTTTTAAAGGAACCAATGAGGATAAACATGTTAGAACTCCTATAACGAAGTGAAACTAAATAAACAGATTTGTTGTAAAGTACTGGAACTGTAGACCATGATTTTAATACAAAAATTTAAGGTAACCCATGTTACCTGAACCTGTTGTGTTTCAAAGTAGTGCATAATGCAGATGATCATAATTTCAATTATTTTTAATGATTTTTTAAAATTATATTTCTCAAATAATTCTCTTTTTGTGTCTTGCGCTTTTTTCAAAATGATTAGAAAGCTACATAACTTTGTTTAAAACGTCGAACCACTAACACATCTTTGATATATCTGCCACTCAGTCTGTCGTGTAACATGCAAAAAGTGTTCAGCCTAAAGATTGTCAGTGTTCATTTATTTTATTTTATTTAATTGTAGCTATAGTTATAAAATGTTTTATTGTAGAAGTCATAGTTTAAAAATGTGCAATGCTTACCCAAAGGGATGCTGTGTTCACTGACAGCTTTGTCCTGCTCCAGGGATGGTAATGAAGCTTCAATCTCTATGAGAGGCATTTTAATAACGAGAAATTCAGAATAAACAAAACCTCTAGAGTAGTAAAGTTGAACATTTTTTCTTCTTAGTTTTGAGCACTTGCTGTAAAAAATAAAGGCCTATATATTTATCTTTATATAAAACACAATGAAAATGGTTGATCCGGTAAACTAACTCCGATATTTTTCCAAGAGGAAAGCTGTACAATACAAAGCAGTTGTTCTAGTTTTATGTTTAAACATTTATTTAATTGAAATTACCTTTTTTTGGACCATAATCCTTCTCTTGTACTCCATTAAGAATGGGTTCCATTACTGGCCTTTGTTTTTTGCTGTCCTCCGGTAAACAAATGTGATTTTCCATTTGTTCGTCTGACCCCTGATTGTTAGCTACGTTGCTATCCACCAAGCAGGTTTCCTCCAGTGCAGCCTTGAACTCTTCACTGGGGAAATCACCAATATTGCTGGTTGGTCGCTCAGGAGTCACTGGATTCATTTTTTCCACCTCGCTCCTCTTTGCAGATACTCCATCCTCGTCTTTCTCAGTTAGACGTTCAGATGCTTGGTCTCCTACATCGCCACAGGACTTCTCTCGCTCCAATTTCTCCTCAGATGTCTTCAGCACTTCCAAGGACGATGCTGATGGTGATTCCTGCTTTTCCTTTGATTCTTCCACGACAATCTCTTTGGGACAGGAAACAAACTCCTCCAGCTCAGGAAGGTCCGGTTCAATGATGGAGTCCTCTTCTCCACCCACTTCATCCACAGTCACCAGCTCCTCCATGTTCTTGGGATACCAACAGTCTTCATCCGTGTCGTCATTATTTTCCCTTTTTTTCTCCTAAAAACACACATCAAGAAAAAATGTTGAACACATCAACACAATGTGTATGTATATCATTATCATGGACCCATAGTTGATACAAATAGTTGATATGATGCCAGTTTGTAATCATCAAGCCTATTGTGGGATAGAATTGATTCTGCTTTGATCATTTTGGCCCAAACAATTAATTGCTTCCTACTTTTACAATCATGGACACACTTTCCCTGAGCTGTAAGGCAAAGCTCTCTGTTTACCGGTCGATCTTTGTTCCTATGCTCACCTATGGCCACAAACTTTGGGTAATGACCAAAAGAATGAGAATGCGTATACAGGCGGTTGAAATGAATTTCCTCCGCAGGGTAGCTGGACTCTCCCTTATATGGTGAGAAGTTCAGTCATCCAGGAGAGACTCAGAGTAGAACCACTGCTCCTCCACATCGAAAGGAGCCAGTTGAGGTGGTTCGGGCATCTGGTAAGGATGCTCTCTCGGCGCCTCCCTAGGGAGGTGCCTTGGGTGTGTCTGACTGGGAGTAGACTGCGGGGAAGACCCAAGACACGCTGGAGAGACTATGCTTGGTTGGCTTGGGAATTCCTTAGAGTCCTCCCAGAAGAACTGGAAGAGGTGGCTGTGGAAATAGATGTCTGGGCCTCCCCACTCAAGTTGCTGCCCCTGCGACCCGACTTTGGCTCAAGCGGGAGATAATGGAAGGATGGATTTACAATCATGGACACACTTCCCCTGCTACAATCCAAAAATAGCAACTTTTTTTTGGCTGCTTTCTTCTTCATGGTTCGCCACAGTGAGCGAACTTGCACAAATATTTGGCAATTGTTTTAATGCCGGATGCTCTTCCTGACATAACCACAGACCACCAAACTACCAGAGCCCTCTATGTGGAGCAGAGGGCTGCCATAGGGGACCCGGGGGAGCAAATGGGTGAGGTTGAGGGCTTTGCTAAAGGGCCCAGAGTGGAGGCAAATTATGGTGGAGGCAGGTGTGGGTGCCTCAACTTTTCCACCCACATTTTGATGTTATGGTCAGCAGGGGATCTGAACTGGGTTTGGGTCAAAAGAACAACAATCAGACTAAATTTGAATGCTGATAGAAATGTAATGCCAGTAGTTTTAAGTGTCCCTAGTTTAAAATTGTTCAGATGATAAACACGCTTACTCACAATGTCTTTATCTTTGTTGCATTCCTCTTTGGGCTTGTGACTTGGCTGAGGTGAAACTGGTTTTTCTTTCGACTGACATTCCTAAAATATAAAGAAAAACTTTGATGGAAGTACGGGATGAATGTGCAGCAGAAATGCAGAAATACATTTTCAAGGTTTACTCACAGTACTCTCAGAAGCACTTTCTCGTGTGTGTTTTTCTGCAGGCGTGTGCCTTCTGCTTGTCTTTCTGCTCCTGTCCCTGCCTGGTGAGCCTGTCCTCTTGTCCTCTGATAGCCTATATGGCAGCTCTTCTCTCATTTCAAACTCAGAATGTCTTGACCGGACAGGGTAGTCGCCACCATCCCTCCTCTTGGGCTTTGAATTGTGCCATTGGTGAGAAGTTCTGAGTTCCTTGTCCAACTTGTACACTTGCTCCATATAGAAGTCATCTTCCATGTTCCTGTAGGAGCTGAAACCTTGCGGGCTGTCTCGTGGGTGTCGGCCTCTGCTGCTTCTCATCCCTTCACTTTCTCCTCTCTCATCTGCAGATCTCAAGCTGAGATGACCTGAGTGTTTCTGGTAGGCCTTCCGACGTTCAGCTGTTCGCCCGTTGGGCCGATCGTCATCCATACCACCACCATTTCTCCAAAGCTCATCTCGCTCTCTTTTGTCCTCAGCTCTTCTCAGGTGTGACGAACAATCCCAGGAGCCTCGGTGGGGGCTCAGCTCATTGCTCCCTCTATCTGGACCCCTGTAAGGTGCTCCTTGTGGGCTGTGGGCTGAGCTGCAGGATGTAAAACTCGGGCTGTGGGAATGAGGGGTCAGAGATCGACTGATAGGGCTGCGGGAGCGAGGTCTCTCTGGCAAGTAGCTGCAGCGAAATGATGAAGCAAATCACTTTTTTGTTTTTTTCCAAACTAAACAAGAAGTTAGGAGTAAAAAACAGTCGCCTTACTGTTCAACTTCTTGCATGTGATCTCTTTCTCGTTGTGAAGCAATATCTTGGATGATTGATTGAACATCTTTACCTGGTTTCTACACAGAGAAGTTACTCAAAATTAGTGCCTAAAACACCCTAAGAATCTGCAGTTTAAGCTGTATATAAGTTTTACCTTGAGCTGAAGTTCTTTGTACCTCTTAGACATCCGTATGAGGAGTTTTTGATTGTTAATCATAGCCGGAGTCAGTTGGTAGTACTGAACCATGGCCTGGGCTGCTTCAATATATGCCATCTCCAGAAATGCCTAATGATAGAATTGAAATCATCCATTAAACATAAACCACCTTATAGTCTCTCTCTGACAGGGCTGGTCTGCTCAAACATGACTCACAGTTTAAACACCAGAGGGGATGCAAACAAATATTTTAGGATTTTAAGAAAATAGTGTCATTACCAAAATAAATCACCAGAACAGCTGATTTAGTTGCTACAATTGAAAACACAAATTTAGTATGACTGTTTGAAATTTGATGGGGAAGATAATATTTGTTAAATTGAACACAAAGTGAACTGGTAACCGAATAACTGTACTTTTGGAATAAATCATTTCAGAAACTAGCAGGTTTTCATACTGATGATCAAGGTAAACACTGCTTTTTGTCTGTTAGAATGTGATTTGTAGAATATTGAAAAAAATCAAGGCATGCTGTTTTATTTTAATTTTATTTTTTAGTGACATAGTAAGTTAATACAGACTACTTTTGGCGAGACAGCTGAAAACGAAGCATTTAAACTTTTAACAATACTGAAGAAGTTAATTTAAAAACTAAGATCTGGGATAGAATCATGAAAATACAATAATAATATTTTACAAATGCTTTAATTCTGAAACTCTGAGCATAAGGAGGTCCAGAGCAGCTAATAGGCTCAGTATATGTTACCATTGTGATTTAGCCAGGTTAAAATGCAACACACTACATATGGGGTGCCATTTGTAAAGTTACACAGTCAAAAATTAACAGCAATATTTTGGTTTATTTAGCCTTTCATAAGAAAAAAAAAAGGTTTTTTTTTTTCAAAGTCATATTTTCACCATGTTATACATTTATAAATGGCCTAGTCCCAAACTAAATATTTATTTTACAAGTTAAATATTTAGTTAGCAACCTAAATATTTAGCTCCACACTAAATTTAGTTTACAAACTAAATGTTTATGTCCAAGCCAAATGTTTAATTTACTAAATATTATTTAATAATATTAATATTATAATATTAT